ATGTCAGTGCGTTTGGCTGGCTACCCTCAAACTCTGCATGCACAATTGCACGTCGCATAGCCACGAGCTTGAAAAATAGCAAGCAGTGAAAAATTAATGAGAGGAAAGGAGGAGAGCAGAGAGAGAATGAAAACAAAATGAAAGTCTTAGACAGCAGACGGAAAGCCGGAGGGGAGCTTAGTTCTTTTGAAACAGAACCTTTTTAAATCTCCTGGGAGTCCACGTGAAAACTGCAGACCTCTCACTGGGAAACTAAAAAGGTTTAAATATCAGCCTCGCATTAGCCTACACCCCAAAACAGACACTTCTGCTAAATCAGGCTAATTAGGCTAGTAGGCCGCTGAACTTTACATTTTTTAATTACTTTTTAAAGCGAATGCTGTTATCCGCGGTGTAATTTGCAATCTGAATTTCCAAAAACAATGTCTTGATTTTATCTCTTACAATGACTTTGTTTTCCCTCTTTGCTTTTATTCATCAAAAGAGTTTCACATTATTAAATCAACAAGGGCTCGGCGTCCTTCGTCTGCCTTCACTCTGAGGACTAAATTCATTAACTGCGAAACACTTTTGGGAGATTGTAAACATCCTGCTGCCACTCAGGAGTGCAGGAGCAGAATATTTTTTAACTCCAAAGACGTTAAAGGCAGACAATATTCAGGAGTTCACAGGATGAAGCCTTAGCTCCCTTTTTACTCCCGGTCATGCCACAGTGAATTAGTGCTTACAGCATGACAGCCATCAGAGACTGCGGGAAAGGAAATCCTGGCCCAGCTGCAACCGAGAGGGGAAGGTGGTGTCAGTAGTGTGTAGACACTCAGACAGCTAGATAGCTGTAATTACTTCAGCAGCAGACAAAGATTAATTAAACAGGAGAGAGCAGAATTAATGAGGTTAGCACACACCTCAACCAGACTTTAAAAAGTTCCCACCATTCCTGTGGAGACTGCAGGGTGTGTTAATGCACGTGGTGATGGAGATGCACACAAAAGGAGGAAACAACTCATGAAATTCAATATTTCCCTGTTTTTCTTTCTGAAAAAGCCACTAGTGTCTGTTGTTACTCACATACGCACTCAGAGGAAAAGTACGTTGTTGTTTTTTTTTTAAGTTTACAAAGCAAGACGAATTTGTTTCAAACCAGGTACCTGAAACTAATCCCCGCTTCTAGGGCTGAAAGTATCAGATGTTTAATTCACACTTGAAGGCAAAAGGGATGGCAGCTGATTATCTGAACTTGGCAAAGCCATCCGCACTGGTGTAATTACAAAAAAAGATGACATCAGCAACAATTTAAGATGCTCATTCTTTCCTAAACCAGGCCCATGGCTAACTGCATGCTAAAATCAGACACCTAAGCTTTCTTTGCTCTTATGCAAATGCGTCTAATCGTAGCTGGAACATGACTAAAACCTCATCTAAATCATCCAATGCACCACCTATGAAAGACAACACCCTAAATTTGGCACATTTTCCGTCTTTTCCTCTGTTAAAATCACTTTCAAATCCTGGAAGTATACAGCTTAGACATCACTGAGAGAATATACTACCAGATAAACAGGCTAGTGCAGCAGAAAAACAGCCTTTACATCACCCACTAAACGACAGTGTATAAATAGAAAGCACTGAAGTCTAACTGACAGCTGGCAACGCTGCATTACTATGTCATATGGTTGCTCCAAGTCTTGCACCATGATTGGACCACTTTCCAAATCTGACTGGCAGCCATGGTGATCTGCAGTGCCCAGAACGTCTAAAAGACCCCAAGACAAATGGTTTCAAGTTTACTGTCAGAGGATAAGTAGGTAATGTTGTCCTGTTTTGGCCAGATAACAAGGCCTCTTGTTGTGTGCTGGAGCTCAACGTTATTCTAAATTTATATAAAAGGACAAGTATTCAGAGCTGGTCCTCGAGATGAAAAACAGGTGGTGAGGTCATGACAGCCATATTTTACCCAGGAAAAGATTTTGGTACAAGGTTAGTTGTTTTTTTTTTTTTGTCAGACCGACCTGCTGTGCTCTGACATTGTCTCGTTTCCTGCAAGGGTTTGACTACGTCCACCATGGCTATTTTCTCATACATTCAGTTGGTAGTTTATTAGGTACACCAAGCTAAAACAGGCGGCCTAATACAACAGTTACTAAATAAATACTGCCTACTACTAGTTAATTAACACCTCTAAAATAAATGTCCAAGATGAAGTGTTCAAATGTCTTATACCGTCCAACAAAATCTATTAGGCTTGCAAATATACCAGCAAATAATCACTTTATAGAAGCTGGCACCAAAGAATTTCTTTATTAAAAAAATGTCTCAATAATCGATTATCAAAATAGTCGTTGATTCATTTTCTGTCTGCAGCTCTAAATGTGACAAATATCTGGGAAAGCTATGGGCAGGATAAGATATCAAACCTTTTTTATTGTTCAATAAAGTCTTAAAGTTTTAAAGCTTCTGAAAGTTTCCTGGAAATAAATAGGTACTTCAAAAGTGAATTAATGGCTAGTGAGCGCATAGCAGGTCAGTTGAAAATGCAAATATGAGAAATTTGGGAAAACACAAGCATACAATTCAACATAAGTGGACATTATATATTATATTAATACAAATATTGATTTGTGGTTAAATGGAGTAGTTCTTAAAAAGAGAAGAAAAAAAACTATTTACCCTGAAATTTGTACTTAATTTCCAGATTATTAACACTTTATTTTACAGTTCTATAAATCAGTGCGAGTTAAACGACCTGAATCCTTATAAACACTCCTGACAACAACAACAACAACAACAACCCCTGACACTACACTACCACCACTTCTCCCTCCTAGGATTTGGTAGCTACTGACAGTCAGGCTCACCTCCCATGTTAGAGCTCCACACATATCCAAAATCTAATTAATTAGGCACTGATGAATCACACTACAGCTTTATCAATCACTACTATAGCACATTACTCAGCTGAGAATTGGATCCCAGCCCTTCGCCCACTGATAAGTTTACTCAAAGTCAACTGATGGATGTGATGACAGGGAGGTGTTAAAAACATACATCAACTACATTGCCTCAGTGAACGTGAACACCTCATGTCATCGCGGACCGCAGTGCAGACTGTCCTCCAGCCTGTGTGGTAAATCAGTAGTGTGAGGTCAGTACGGAGGGTATATATATATATTTACACGTGGAATAAAAGCCGCAGCTGTTGTGTCTAATTTCACACAACCATTTGAATGTCATCACCAGCGGCAGCTCCAGGATCTTTTGACCGCCGTGGTTTAGTTATTTGGAGAAGATGAAATTTAGAGTATACTGCAATCTGTTAATTAAGTCACTGGGATGTAGAGATACGTATTGTTTTGCTCAAAAGGACTACTTCAAATGTTCCCTAAAAACTGGACTAAGGAGTGACTTGCCTGCACCAACTGCTTAAATTAAGCTTTTTAATCATTCAGAAAACACACCAATGGTCATATTGACAAGAATCTGGCGATATGATACTGTAAGCAAGACAATATTTGTCAAGTCTAGCTAGCCCTCTGGATTTATAACACTATAAGTGTAACATCTATTAAGAAATGTGCCGACTTAATCTGCTTCTACAGATTTGCATGAACCATGTGCACAGTAGCGCTCAAATTCAACCCAATATGCATTTAATTTCTGAGCTCTCAAGATGAGGAAATGAGGCTGCCACCAACTACAGATTAACAACACAGGAAAACCTAACCATCCATACTGGGAGCCTATAAAGAATTCATGCAATTTGCCAACAGAAGTCACACAGCTTCAAACACACATCTGGTAATACTGGATGGCTGCACTGTATACAGGCAAATCTCACTAAGCAAAAGCACCTTGTATGCTTAATAAAGATTTATTTAAAGCAACTTGCACACTGCCAATCACCATACAGTATATCTGTTGGTGATTATCTCTAATAAATCACATTAAAACATTAGTTAGCTCAACTAGCGTCAAAATATCACTTTGTTACTAACTTTCCTCCTCGGTATTATTGCTGTAGTTGTGTTTTTTCCCTCTAGTATTTTTCCAATACATTAGACGATTATTTAGGCTGTTAACTTTCCGAACTTGGACGTTTGGTTAGCCCGCCATCTTCAACCGGAACGCCCGCAGTGCTTGGTTACTATGGGTTACACCGTGTGGGTGCAGCAGGGGCCCCTGGTGGCGGGGAGAGTAACTGCATCGTATTATAAGGTAAATACTTTTAATTATATTTTTATTTTTACCTAAATGTATGTACCTATATATACCTATATATACATTTTCTATTTCTATATATCTTGTGTTAGATATTGTAATATAATTAGTAGTTATAATTAGTATTTAACATCGTGTGAGTGCTGTAACAAACAGATTTCCCCCCCCCCGGGGATCAAATAAAGTATTTCTGATTCAGATTCTAGTGGTCCAACTCCCCAGATTTAAAAAAAATAATACATTTCATTGGTTTAAAATTATTAACTGTTCATTCTCACATAGGTGGAGATGGGATCCTCTGTGGATCTGTTGGTTCTGAATGCAAACTGGTGAGGGTCCAGGCCGGCAGGGACCTTAATCCTTTATGTGCTGGAGAACCAGTTTTAACCAGTTTTCTGATGAATGTGATATTGGTGTAAGTGTTGAAGAAACATACATCTGCCACATTGCTTTAATAGAGTTTAGTTTGGTCTTGTTTTCAGTCTTTTGTTTCTTTTTCTTTTTATGAAGTAGCTCATTTGTCCTGACAACAGAAATGACTTTCCCTCACTTAATTCCAAACATGAATACATTTTCTCAGCGACTGGGTGATATTAGGAGTAGACAAAACGTTAGGCGAGTCATTCCACCACAGTCTGGAGGTTCAAGACAGATGTTGAGTCAGCAGTGAAAATACTGGAGGAGACAGGAAGTGCAGGACTGATAGTCAATAAACAGATAATCAAAAGTGAAATTAAATCCAATGACAATTTGTCAGGTAAGAAAATAAAGACAGACACACAACATTATCATATCGTGCGTAGTTTAATCTTTTATAAATTACACTCACACTGCACCACACCATAAAACAGTATCAATACATCCTGAGCAGACATCAATAGTTCTGAAATTTTGTTAGCCAGAGAGCTCTTGAAGGTAATCTTTTGATTGGATTTATGCTGGCTTTAAAGTACAAATCACAAAGAGCACAATGTGAAAATGACAACAGCATTGATCAGAAATGTTGAAATGCATCCTTATTTTTATTCACTTACTGTATTTATGTGCTTATTGCTCCTACTGGAACGGAAAGTCTGTATCATCCCCACTGCAACGAATAGGTTACAGCATGTGAGGGACACTTGCCTGTCTGGCAACCACATACTAATCTGTATTGTGAAATCAAAGTAAGGATCCATTTTTATGTGTCTGAACAAAGCCACATTAGGGAAAGCTTCATGAATTCATGAAGGATTGTAACTCCTGCTTCAAAGTGCTCAGAACAGGAAAAGGCTCAGTACTCAGACAATGTGCAGATTAAAATGTGTGTAAAAAGTGGGGTATAGAGTGAAAAACAACTGGTACAAAGTAAAAAAAGAGAAATTAATAAAGCACAAAAAAGTGCTTTTTAACATTAGCAAGTGGACATTTTTTTAATATAAATTATAAATCACATACTGCAATTTTTGGTAGAAAACATTTACCTTTGATCTAAGTTCAAAAGTACAAATAGTTTGGATGTACAAATAGACCCACAGGCTTTCAAAGGTTTTGGATTCAATTTAAATGCTCAATCATTAAAACTTAAACTATTAATATTTAATGCTCATCAAAGTGCACCAGAAGTTCTATCTATGCTGGTGGATTGAGAAATCCATGTTGACTAAACATACATACCCCTCTACAACCTACAGTATTCCCATTCAGAATTAAGGCTGCAGTGTGAGTAAAAGACTCAAAACTGTTCGTATCAACGACGCAGAAGATTTACCCTAAAACACAAACATGAGAAAAGTATCACAGCACGCCACGAGTCAAAATGCAATTGCAAATGCACGATAGCTTATATGGATTACATACGGCGGAGTGGAAGATCCCTCACATCACATGCAATAATATTCAGCCCTTATGCAATATGGATTAACATGTATTATTCACATTTGAACTGATGCAATGATCACATCTTTTTCACCTGTTTATATTAACCTCTTTATTAGGTATTAATGATTCAAAAAGCTCTGCTTCAGAAGACCTGATCGTCACAAACGCTGTTTTTTTTTTTTCTTTATGTAAACATGTTGCTGTTTTCCTTGTTTTTAAAAAGGTGATTCTGCTCTATTTTATCTACCAAAAACATCCACTGTTTCAAAACAGAGACTGGAGTAGGAATATTAAGACTCTTTGAGTTTTCACTGTACGTCTACGCTCCCAACAGTTGATCGTAGCTGTAGTAGTTCTTATTTAAAGCTGGTGTAAACTGGTTAGTAGTTTCATTTGACCCCGCAGAATGGAAAGTGAATGTCTGTAATGCTCTATTGTGATGCTGTTGGCTAGTGTCAGCCTATATGTAGAAAGAGTGCAGTGGAAATGTAAACGTATCTGAGAAGTGTATGGTTATGGGATGCCGCATCTTTCCGTTTAGGCTTCTGCAAGAGTCCTTAATGCAACAAAACATGTCTACTTCTGTATACAGTCTGTAATACTGTAGTCTTTGCAAGAAAAATCTAGTGTTAGCGTAGATCGTGGTGTTTTGTTTCTTTCTTTTGGTCTTTTTGGAGCAGCGTTTTGCAATGTCACACCACCCTCTGCAGGATGTAGAGGATGCCGATGTTGTCGATGGTGACGAAGGTGGAGAAGTCGGACGAGACGTGGATCCTCTTCAGCGCGGTTCCCGTGGTATAGAAGGTCTGCAGGGCCTCGCCTTTCTCCACATCCCACCACTGGCCAACAGACAGAGAAAGAAAGAAAGAGAGACCATTGAAACAGTTTTAATAGTTGCAGAGCATCTGGGAAGGAAAAAAATCCCAAATTGAAAAAGTAATTGTGTACATTTTCAGCAAGCTTGCTTAGCAACCTCATAATAAGGAAAACATACAACATATAACATCATTTCTGAGCTTCAGAGGTGCTGGCAGGTTGGATTTTGGACAAAGCAGGCTAGCTGTTCCCCCTCTGTTTCCAGTCTTCTTGCCAAGCTAAGCTTCTGGCTCTAGCTTCACATTTAACGTACAGACATGCAAATGTAGCTATGTCTTTATCAGATACATCAACTTTGGCACGAAAATTTTCACTACCTGAATAACAGAGGGTATGTTTTATTCACAGTACTTTTGCCTCATGCCTTTTCGTACAGGTTGAAGCTTTAAGAAGCTGTACTGCTTCTGCTGCACTCCGATAAAATCAAATGACAAAAGTTGTGTAGTCTGAACTCGGCTTTATCTGAATCAGAACTTGAGACAAAGACAGGAAGGGAGAGAGACTGACTGAGAGCTTTATATTTGTTGCCAAGAAGGCCATGATGAATTTAATAGCATAATATTACCAGACTCACATACACACCCTCAGGCTCCCTCAAACACACACACAAACCCCCCACCAGCTTCCCTGAGTGATTCCGTTTAATCTCGGTTTAAAGTTGACATTTTCCATTCAAGCTCCATCTCACTGGGATGAATCATCAAAGGCACATCAAGTCAATCATTTACAGTCTGGCATGAGTTTGTGTGTTTCTTTTTGTGTGTGTGTGCGTGTGTGTGTGTGTGTGTGTGTGTGTGTGTGTGTGTGTGTGTGTGTGTGTGTGTGTGTGTGCACGTTCAACTTTGACAATAATAACCACGATAACTTTACAGCAAAATTGTTCCTCTTCCATCTCAATAAAAAGACGACATGAATTAAATCAATAGGTTGAAGCTTTACTGGTGTATGTTTTTGCTCTAAAACATTAGTGGCTCTGTGTGAGTGAGTGAGTGAGTGAGTGAGTGAGTGAGTGAGTGAGTGAGTGGGGTGGGGGGGGTGTGTGTGTGTGTGTGTGTGTGTGTGTGTGTGTGTATGTATAGGGGTATGATGTGTGTGTGTGTGAGTGAGAGTGAGAGTGTTTGTGTGTGTGTGTTTGGAAAAGAAAGCAGGCCAACTCCTTGGTGTCTCCACAGACCGGCGGACAGACAGACTGCAACAGAAGAGGTGGCGGCAACAGATGTCTAGCTTACAGAACAATCCCAACACACACACACACATACACACACACACATACACATACACACACACACACACACACAAATAGTCCATTAATCACGCAAACCATTCCACAGCATTAAGGAGAGCTCATTTGCATATTCATGATTTTAAAACCCGCTGTATGCCTTTGGGTTTTCTTCATGTTTTTCCAAGATTGTCATGCTATACTGTAAATATACTATGAGAGTGTGTGTGTACTAAAAAATGGCTCTATATATTTGTGTTGCTGCAGGGGGTTGGCTTTACTTCTGCTGAGATTGGACTTCCTCCACAGTCACCATCATAACACACACACCCAACCACAACCACACACACAAGTTCGCTTGCCTAAAAATGCAGCTGGTTAACTGGAAATGAAAAGACATTGCCATCTTGGTCGTAACACATAATCACTACTGAGAATTTGGTTAAAAATAAGAAAGTAGACAAAAACATATTAAATGTCATTATGTGGTAGGAATACAAAGATTGACCTGAAATAAATGGTACCACAGTGTTTTTGTATTACTAACGGCCCCAGCAACAAGATTCTGGACTCCAAAAGAAACAATTGTGCTCCAGTTATTGTACCGGGGCAGAGGGATTAACAGGAATCAACTGATCTCTGACATAATACTCTGTCTCGTGGTTTGCTGTGCAATATATCACCTAACAAGTGGTTTTTCTACATATTTTTCTTTCGACAAATAAGCTGTGATCATTTACAGCCTCTAACAGTCCCATTAACTTATTTCTTTACCCTCCCTTTCTAAAAATAGCTCACCCATTATTGTCACTCAATTTGCTACTTCTCTCACTCCCGCTAATCCACATTAAGCTTGCATTGATTTTCTCCCTCACTTCAGGTAAGTAGGAACAGACTGCCAGGCACCGACTGGTAGCACAACGTCTGGGGTACACTAGCAGAAAACATTTGCTATGATGTGAGAGGGTTTTTAGAGGGGTTGGACCAGCTTAAACTGAAGCAAACAACAGGTCAAGTTCTGGACTCTAGAGCTGGGTCAGAGTTAAGTTAATTAAAGCTCTCTTTTCCTGGTTTGACATTTGTACACAGGTCCAATCCGACAATAAACTTCACCTTGAATCAGACAGGAAATCATTTTACACAGCACGCTAGCAAAAATACTAATTATGAATGAGTGTAAGAAAACATTAGATCAAATCTCACTAATGTAAAGACTGCTTTACATAACAGTTATTAGTATCCACCCACTGCTTATTTTCTTTATCTATCTATCTATCTATCTATCTATCTATCTATCTATCTATCTATCTATCTATCTATATATATACACAGAACCATGATGAATCTGCGTGATGTTTACTCGAACATCAGAGCTATGCGATGTAATTTGCTGCTGCCCTCAAGGCTAAATGTGACCATGTTCTCTCAATATGACATTTACTTAAACTAATTAATTTCATGTTTCTACATGATTCATAAATATAAATATATAGACTGACTCACAGGACTGAACATGATTAATCATTGTTTTGTGCGCTATTTAACATAATCCTCTGAAGATTACTGGACTGCATGAGGTCTTTGATTCACACAGGCTGAGAAACAGATGCGGAACAACTGCACAGTGATAATTTATGTTTACAGCAACTCTTTCAGCATCTTGTATCTTGTCTCTACAAACTGACATACTCATTAAATATGTGGCCTTTACTGTGTGATGTAAAGCTACAGCTCATTTTCCGTAAAGCTTGATAAGCCCAATATTATACAACATAAAAATGCTCTACACTGGTCGCTCTACAACTGAATTAGAACTGGAAAAATCCCCATTAATGTGAGCAGTGTTTGCATATTTTTATTGTGAAAACGCTGGCTCTATTTCCACTGTAAAATATAGCAGAAAACCCTGTATATGGACAGTTTTGACATCCAAGAGCATCCACGTCCAAAATGCTAACAACTCACCCTCTGACCTTTGCAATTTTTCGGTTGTCTCCATCTGAAATGGTTGATTCAGACAAGTTAAATCTGATTATTATACAGAATCAGTTAAAGAGGAGTGCTAAGACACTCTACCAACGACAACAAGAAGCTAAAACTAAGTGCTGACAACCTGAAAAAGCAAAAACGGGCAGTTTTCATCTCAAGCCCGAGCAAAGACCTTTTCAAGGTCACAATATGATACCTTCAGCCTCAATTTGAAACACTAAATGTCACCATGTTCGGTTTTTGTTGGCTTTACAAAGACAAATGGCGATTATGAAAGTAGTCTTGGTGTGAAGGTCAATAACAGAACATCAGAGAGAGAGGGATGTGTGGCTGGATAAAGAAAGATAGATGAGATAAAGTTGAGATCGATACAGAGGTGGAGGGGTAAAACGAGGATACACACAGCAGATATCAGAGGAGGGAATGAGACACTTGATTTAAGAGTAATTGCATCGGAATGAAAGGAAAAATGGCTGCCGGCTGCCAAAACACTGACAGCTCAAACAAAGAAATAGTATTCACACACACACACACACACACACACACACACACACACACACACACACACACACACACACACACACACACACACACACACACACACACACACACACACACACACACACACACACACACACACACGTATGTATAAATACAGAAATAAATAGCCAAACAGACAGGATGAGATGAACGAGACAATGAGCAGAGTCGAAGAACAACAAGAATAAATCCCACGACAAACATGGGCAACAGACGAATGATAAAACAGAAAATAAGAGAGTGGAAGAGCACCACATGACTCCAACTGCTTATAAAAAAAGGATTAGCAGAGAGATGCGACGCAAGGAGAAGAGAGTCGGTGCAGAATAATGTTTAAAAGAGTCAGTTGGCTCAGTGGCGGGACGGAGGAAGAGGTGTGGACAGAAAGTGTGAAAATGATGTTACCCTCAGAGTAAGACTGGATTTACTATGAGGGAGGGGAAAAAAAGGCCGAAAAAAAAGGCCGGAAAAAAATCACTATTTTGAATAATTTACACCAGAGGACGTTGACGAGACTACATTGGATGGCAAGCATATTTATGCGTTAGCATGAGCAGGGAGGGACAGAAATAAGAAGACAAAAGAATAAAGAAACAATGAGAGTTCTTTGAGATAAAGGGGGAAATAAAGCTGCACACGGGGGGTGCACAGAAAGGTGCACTAAACAAAAGAGCAACTTTAGATCCAAGATGTAAAGATGCTGTAAACAGAAAAACACATTCATCGTAAAAACAGATACACACAAGATAAGTCTCCTTCCATAAGGGATTGTTCTCTCCTATGGGAATACGCAGCAGTGCTTTCTGTGTTTGCGTGTGACACCGAGTGCCCACATCCTCAGAACAGATGGCTGATGTGCTGATATGAACACCATCACTGTGGGGCCATTGATTTATGGGAGAGCTAGTGATGTGCTTAGGTGTTAAATGACTATACAGTGTGTGTGTGTGTGTGTGTGTATTTCTGAGTGGTGTTGTTGTGAAGACCATACCCCCTGGGTGTGTTTACTGCGAGTATTTGTGTGACCGTCTCGCTCTTTCTTTACAGAAAAATATTTCTAAACATATACAGCGCAGCATCCTCGCTTCCTCCTGCGCTGAGGCTGCTGAAATTAACTCAATCGACAATGTTCGGCTCTACGTTACGTGAATACTAATGCGAGGAACACACATGCACACACACACATGCACACACACACATGCACACACACAT